CAGCTACTCAGGAGGCTGAAGTGGGAGGATCACTTGAGCCCGTGAGGTCAAGGCTGCAATTAGCCATGATGGTGCCACTGCACTCCAGCCTGGGTGACACAGCCAGACCCTGTCTCAAAAAAATAATGAAAAATTTAAAAAGATAATTTTTCTGATAATCATGGGTTGTCCTGGGGACCCAATGAGATGGCTTCACATACAGCTGGGGACAAGGTCAGTGCTTGAAAAACGGGTAGCAATTACATAAAGGACTCTGAAGTGAGGGGCCATCCTGAGCCTGTCAGAGCCATGGAGTGGCAGCTAAGGTTACTGCTGTCACTACTTGGTTCTAAAGGAATTATCCCGATAATTTCCAACATACCCCTATTAACTTTTTGAAAATATCATCTAAATGAAAACACACAGCTAAAAAGAGTCAACGCCCTGAAGACACCTCCTCCCAACCCCCAAGGCCTTCGGACACCAGTTTGAGAAGCTGGGCTCTAGGGGACCCTGTCTCCAAAGCAGAATATGGTCTGCTTTCTCCATCCCTGGCTGCCACCTGAATCCAGCCAGCTCTCTCCCACACAGGTCCCTCCCCACCCACCTGTGTCCCTCCTCTTTGGGGATAAAGCCTTGGCTCCACACCACAGCCTAGGCCCTGAGCCCTGCCACCCTGCTCTCTCCCCTTCACCCACTCCCCCGGCTCCAACCACATGGGCCTGCTGTTCCACCACCCCTTGCGGCCTTTACCTGGCTGCACCCCTGTCCAGCCCACCTCCTCAGGCTCTCACATCACAGGGGCTCCTCAGCAGCCTTCCCAAACCTCTCTCCACTCTAGATCCAGCTAGATCTCTGTCCCCTCCTTCAGCCACACCAAGCACTCACAGGCCAACACAACCTCTCTGCCACCTCTGATCGCATCCAGAACTACACGTGGCACACAGTAGTTATTCAATCAATATTTGGTGATGGATGGAATACACGAATGACCAAGAACAGCCAAGGGCCGGCTCCTGAGGCTGTTCAGCAATCAGACCCCCAGGGCAGCGGGGACAGGGTGCCTCCCATCCTCATCCCTTCCCCCTGGGCTCTGGGAAAAGGAGGAGCCAAGACCATGGTATTGGGGGTGGAGAGCAGCAGCCACACCCCACCTCCCGAGCAGGCATGGAATGGAGTCATTTCTAGATGACTGAGGCCTACTTTGTGCCAGGTCTGTCTAGGAGAAGAGAAAGCAGGAAAGAAATCCTGATGACAACAGCGACAACTCCAGTCACAGCAGGCAGGACAAGGAGATGAGGCATTCTTCAAAAGGCAGCTTCGCTGACAGAGCAGGGTTCAACTGTCATGCCTATTGGACTTTGGGCAAATCCAACAACCTCTCCATGCCTGTTTCCTCCCCGGTAAAACAGGGACAATCGTGACAGCAAGCTGCCAGGCTGTGGTGAAGAGGAGTAAGAGCAGACACCTCAAGCTCTGCAGCAGTGCCCAGCACACACAGGTGAAAACTACTCACGAGAATGACCCCAACATTCTATGTGGCTCCCTGGGCCTGTTTCCTATTTACAAGACGGGGGTGCTAACACTGCCCACCTCCCAGGCTGCTGTGTAGGTCTGTAGAGCTCATACACAGTGTCTGGCTGGGCAGGAGTGCAGCGGTGGGAGTGATTCATATTCCTGTCTGGAGCCCTCCCATCAGCTAACAGGCCTCACCACTCTCTCCCAAGGACCAACAACAAGCCCGTGCCCACTGCCCCGCAGAGCCCCTTCTGTACTCTCAGGTGCCTTCAGTCCTGTCTGGCAATCACCAGAAGCAGCATAAGCCCAAATTCATCCCACACCTCCTCAAGAGACCCGTGCTTTCCAACACAGCAGCTCCCTACATCTTCCCCACCACCCCACTCAGCAGGAAGGTTCCCGTTCACAGCTGGGCAAACTGCACCTTAGGGAGATGAAATAAGGCCCCAGGGTTCCACGGCCACCAAGAGGGGTGCCAGGAGCAGGGTTCTCACCCATGTCAGCTGCCCCCGGGACCAGGCCACTCAGCAGCCCCAGCTGGGTAACGGTACACCAATGACCCACCAGACCATGAAGAACTCAAAGCCAGGCTGGAGAGGAGAACCGGGGAGCAGGAACTGCCCCAGCCCGTTCAGAAAGGGCCCATGAAGTGGCAAACCAAGGAAGGCTTGGGTTTCTGGCCTCACCCTTAGAAACAACATCTGCGAACGAGCTTCTCCGGCAGGACGGCTGGGCTGAAGAAACTCCTGCGGGGACCTCTGACATGCAGTCTCCTCCTGGCCGGCCTGGCTTGCCGTCCCTTACTCGGCACACTCAGAGCACCCGGGCCCTGCTGTGGGTGCCGAGTTGGCAGTGGGTCTTGCCCCAAGGGGGCCAGGCTGAGCTCCCACCCAGCACCCCTCCCACACTCGCTCCCTCCCTCCTGGTCCTGCTCCCAGGCTGTCTCCCCCAGTTGGGCCTCTCGCTGCTTGGCTGGCTATCCAGAAGAGCCTGCCATGGAACCACCCCACCGTGCGGCCCGGAGGCCTGTGGTTGAGGGCCTTCCGCGGAGAGCTCTGGGAAGCTGAAGAGAGGCCCGGGGAGGGGTGTCCCTGGGTCCTCCAGGGGCTTGAAGCTCAAGTCTGAAAGATACTCCTTTCCATCCCAACCCATCCCAGGGGGTTTCTGGGGACCCTAGAGATTTGTTCTGAGGGGCTGTGCTCCTTCTAGGAAGATACCCTGGAACACACCTCAAAAAACAACAAACGCCAGGGCGCCTGCTCCTGCACTAAGCCTTAGGGGTGAGCCCATGGGTGGGATCAGAAGTCACACTCACCAGGGGCTACTGAGCTGTGCTGCGGGAATCTCCGGAGGCCCAGATTCATAGCCTGTCCCCAACACTTCCTGGCTGGGGGACCCAGCACAAGCTGCAGAGGCTCTCCAGGCTTCAGTTCTCACCGCTTAAGGCGGGAATCAGAGAAGCTTCCTCCCGGGTCTAACATGTCTTCCCCCAGATACTCCCATGGCTCTCTCACGGCACTCCAGTCCCTGCCCACACGTCACCTCCTCAGGGAGGTCCTCCCTGATCACCCAGCTACAGTGGAGAAACATGCCCACACTCTCAACCTGGCCCTCATTTATTTTGCCTTCGTAATATCAACCACACCTGAGGCCCGCCAGAGACCTGGGTGCTGGGCGCCAGTCACAAGACCTGCTCTTTCCAATTCCAGAGGAGCACCGGGAATGGCGCAGGCCTGCAGGCCCACGGTAGCGTGGACGCAGGGTCAGCGGGTGCTGTCTGTATCAGGTGTGACTGCTGCTCTGCGTTGCTATTCAGTATTAGTCCAGCTGGTTGGGTTGGGGAGGGAAAGGCACAGAAATCAGCCCAAGGAGCCTCCCCTCCTCTTTCCCTAAAAGTAACAGCCACGGGCTCTGGGGAACACGGTGTGAAAACCACAGGAGAGGGAGGCAACCCTCGGGCCTTTGCTGGCTGTAAGGCAGTGATGCTACCCGAGGGGAAGTGGGAGGCCTGTGAAACGCCCTGCTCCGCTCAGTTAAATCTACCCACCCCCCCCAGGCAGGAGCCTGTGACCCTCTCCTTTGTCACCTACTAACACCCTAAATCTGACCAGGCTGTTTCTGCTGAAATTCCAAACTCCTTCACAGACAGTCCACAAGGCTCCCAGTGACAGGGCCCTGCCTGCCCCACAGCCCCTGGACTCATCTCCTCCCTGCTCCCTCACTCTGCCAAGTCACACAGGCCTCCATGAGGCTTGTCCCTGCACCTCACCAAGCTCTGTCCTCCCTTCAGACCTTTGCACTATGGTTCCCTCCACCTGGAGGGCTGTTCCTTCTCCTCCCATCCCACATGACTGCCTCACCTTGCCAAACTGGGATCAGCTTAGAGGCCCTCCACGCAGCCGCATGCATCTAAAGTGCCCAGTCTGTCACCCGGTTTGAATTCGCTGCCTAGCACCTCCCCTTCTAACCGGCTCCTTGCTTATTCACCTGTTTCAGGTTGGCCTCCCTCAGCCCCACAAGGATAGGGACTTTGACAAGCACACCGCTGTATTTCCAGTACTGATGCAACGCTGGCACACAAGAGGCGCTCAGTAAATGGTGGTGGGTGAGTGAAACCTTTTCCTCGGCTCCACAATACCCTTAGGGTCCATCCTCGCCTCTCACCCAGGCCCACAGGCCAGTGCAGCACAGCCCCTGCCAACCCCTGCAGGCACTTCTGCTGCTCTCCTGCCCAAGCCCAGCCTTCCTGCCACTCCTGGAACTGCGAGCTGTGGTGGACAGGGGCAGTGGCAGGCACCTATAGTCCCAGCTACTCAGGAGACTGAGGCAGGAGGATCACTTGAGCCCAGGAGTTCAAGACTAGCCTGAGCAATACAGCAAGACCCCCGTTTCCACAAAAAAATTTAAAAATTAACTGGGCATGGTGGCATGCACCTGTAGTCCCAGCTACTCAAGAGTATGAGGTGGAAGGATCACTTAAGCCTAGGAAGTCAAGCCTGCAGTGAGCTGTGATCACACCACTGCACGCCAGCCTGGGTGACAGAGTGAGGCCCTGTCTCAAAAGAAAAAAGAAAAAAAGCAGAGCCTGACCTCTGAAAAAACTTGAATGTGTCTACCTTGCAGGGGCTCAGGGCTGCAAAGCCACTGTGTAGAAGCGGAGTGGGCCCGGGAGCTGCCCTTGTCAGTTCTGTCTTGATTGCACGTCTCCTCCGACCTCTGTTTCTGCATCTGGAAAACTGAGATGCTAATTTCAGTCCTGATTTCCTCCTAGTGCTCTCTGACACGGTTCTGTGAACTGGCAAGGGCCTTCAAAGTCCTGGCAGAAATACTAAGAATTACAATTGCTAAGATATACCAATGGCTCACCGTGTGTCGGGCACTCTTCTCAGTGAGGAGACGTTTCAGGTAGGCTTACTGTATGCCAGCATAGTTATGAATGCTTCCCACAAATTAATCCACTCAACCTTCACAATAATCCTATCAGGTGGGAATTATCATCCTCCCCATGACACCGATGATGAAATGAGCTCAGAAGGGTTGGGGAGCCTGCTCAAGATCACACAACCATGGAGTGGCAGGGCTGGATTTGAACCCTGTGCTCTCACTCGCTTCCATGCAGCTCTTTACAGAGGCTGGAAACCAGAACATCGAAGTTCTGGATCCTAGCTGGGCCAGGCTGGGGAGCTGGATCCTGGAATGCTCAAGGGGACCAAAAGTAGGGGGTGGGGGAGGCTGGATGCCTCAGTTCCATAACATAATCATGACTGCCAACCAAGACTTACACAGTGCCAGGCACCGTTCTAGGAGCTTCTCGTGGATTAATTCATTTAATCCTCACAACAGCCCAAGGTGGGTGTCCTTCTGAGACCAATGTATGGGAGTGAACAGTGTGGTCTGAGGCCACAGAGCTAGAATCCACTTCTCCATCCTGCCGCTAGCCAACGCAGGTCCCTGGTAGCTGTGTCACCTCCCGCATGGCTCTCTTGCTGTCTTCTTCTCCCAGCACACACCTGCCCAGCGTTAAAGGATGCCCTGGCTCCACTCTGAGGAGGGACCAAGAACTGCTGGACTGGCTGCAGGCAGGGGTGCTCAGGGCAGCCTGAGACTCAGGGGTGAGAGGAAGGAAAGACATAGGATAGTCACCTCTATAGGTGGAGGACAGAGGACAGAGGTGACTCTATCCTATGTCTTTCCTTCCTTTCACCCAGCCTGGAACCTGGTGAGCAAGGAATGCATGGCACTAGGGGCTCAGTGACCTGGGTTCAAATCCCACCCTGGCGCCCATAGGGTCTGATAAGACCTGGGGGAAGGCAATTCTTCCTCTGAACTTCAATTTCAGACTCTGCAAAAAAAGGACACAAATACCATACAAAACCCGAAGCACAGGGCTGGGCAGAGTATACGCTCATAGACAAAAGCTACTGCTCCAGTTTCTCCTTGACAAGAGGATCTGAGGCCAAGGTGGGCCAAGGGCTCACATCACATCTCTACCACTTCAGCTATCAGACCTCAGGGAAATCTTTACACTTCACAGTAAGTGAAATGATTCCTCATCTGTAAAATGGTATCACACTTCTAACTAGCTTGTAGCTCTCCACCAAATAGGCCTAACCACAGGTACGTTTTGAGACTTAAGTGAGGTCACATGTGCAAAAGCCCTGTCACACGCCTGGCATGGGGTGAATGCTATAAACACTGGGCATCCACTAGCTCTGGAAATGATTTGCCTCTCTGAGCTGCTGTTTTCTCATCTAAAACGGAAAGCATAACAACAGCGCCTACCGCTCTAGAATTCAAGTATTCAGCAAGTTTATCTCTAAGAAGCATTCCAAACAGTGTGTGGCCCACAGAATGCACTCAGTTACTGTCAGCCATCAATTTCGTGATTACTGTTTTCACTGCCGCTGTTAGCCCCATCAGGCAAAGCCTCTAAAAGGTGACAGAAGGAGAGGACCAGAGGAACAAAACCCTAGTGGAGAAAAATTATACAGAGCCCCTACTGCCTCACAGACTGTGGGACCTTTCTTCCCAGAACCACAAGGCACGGAAGCCAGTCAGCTTGGAAATCACTGCTGCGGACTAGGGGCAACCGTCTGACCCCTCCGACCACATCACCAGCCTAGGTCTGCTGGGTCAATCAGGGACTGCAGCCAGTCCTCCGGGAACTCCAGACCCAGAGCAAAGGCTACAGGGCAAGCCAAGGTCATGATCTGGCCTAGGGAGCAGGGACACTGGCCACAGACCTCTGGGGCTGGCTGCTCCCAGCACCAGTCCACAGACCACAATAAGACACCAGATCCACGGGGGATCGACTGTCCGAAGCCCTTCAGAGCAGCCTTCCTCCTTGGGCCAGGCTGGGCCAGGGGCACCCCCCTCCAAGTCCCCTTGGCCTATGCAAAGAGAAACAGCTGGGAAAACAGCTCCCGGCCTCACTGCAAGTCCAACTGTTACTGCCTTGGTGGGGAGTGTAAACATGATGTGTGACTGATCTGGTAACCGGGAGACACAAACAGCTTCGTGGCCAGCGACAGAGGAGCATGTAATGGTCTGCGTTGGTTCCCGGACCCTTCACATCCACTGCCAACCAAGGTCAGCCCACGAGTGAACTCCTGCTTCTCTGGAAAAGTAGGAGTGGATGAGGTTGAAAAGCAGCCCACTGGAGGCCCTAGTTACTCCAGCCCAGGCATCTTGCTGAGCCTAAGAGGTCTCCAAATGAGAAGAGGTCCTCACTAATCCTAAGATCAAGATGCCCCGAGAAAGCTTTCCCGGGGGTAAGAGGTGTTCCCCCAAACACTCCTTCCTCCCAAGTTTTAACAAGCTGGTCCAGGGGCACGGCTCCTCAAATCCAAGCCTAATACCTCTTCCCCTTCCGAATGTGGAGCCTAAAGCTCAGACAACTTCAGTGACTTCCAACACAGCTTTCCTCCCTCCCCTATGGAAGAAAAGAACTGTTACTGCCTGGTAAAAAATCTGAGAGGGTAATGGAATCCAGAGCAGCACCTCCGTGGTCCAAAGCACCCCAGTAACCATGACGTTCCCTCCAAAGTCGTTAAGAAGTTCAATAAAGGCTGAGCTGTGTAAACCCCCAACCCCACACACGTCAAATACAAGAAACAGAAACCCCTTCTCACCAATCGGAATCACAGTCCTCCCAAAATACGCCCCTAAAATCCACTAGGGCCTGTCCCGCCCCGTCCCAGTCCCTTAAAGATCACAAACATCACAGTCCTCCTCTGGTTTGGGCTCCCCTACGTTCTAAGCAGGGCTCCCCCAACGCCGTGGTGATACTACCCAGCCACACTTCGGGAAGCATGCTCCCAAGAACCCCCACCCCTGTAAATACAGCACAGCAACGGCTTCCACAGCGCCAAAAAGGTACACCCCTCTACACTTGATGCGGCGCGCCCCCTCGAGAGTTTAGCCCGCGCACGCCAGGCTCGATCTGCCCGCCGCGCCCCACGGGTCCA